GAGAGAGAGAGAGAGAGAGAGAGAGAGAGAGAGAGAGAGAGAGAGAGAGAGAGAGAGAGAGAGAGAGAGATTCCTCGTGAAACTGGCAACGGCAGTTAGGTAGCCTGAAACCACTGTATCTGGTGTAAAAAACAGTCAGAAATTCTCAGAACTAGTTAGACAAAGGCTATTTGTACAGGTTGACATCGAAAAGACTGACATCGCTTCTCGTAACGACGAACCATATCCGTCTCCTGATGCTTTAGCAACCACCGAGCGCGGAGAGAGAGAGAGAGAGAGAGAGAGAGAGAGAGAGAGAGAGAGAGAGAGAGAGAGAGAGAGCTTGTATTTATGGTTACTTATGCGAGGAGGTAGCTGCTGTCAGCAAGTGAAGGCTTTGAAAGGCGATTTGACGGCGGGGGCTCCCATTGAGACAGGAGGTGGAAATGAGACCAGGAATAACATGAGCGGACGTGGAAGTGAGCACGCCAACAGAAGCCTCTGGTGGTAAGTACAACCATAAGCTACTAAGGCGTACTTGCCCCTGAAATATTTCTCCCTGGAGACCGTCCCAAGTTCCAAGTTCCCTGCTTTGCCCTTCGCCTTCCTCTTTGTGGCTGGAGGGCATCCAGTCCTCGGCGAAATTCGCCAGACGGATCGTCGTCCACGTCATCGGCGCAATATCTGCTGCCTCAGCGTTTGTCTTTCCTCGCTTTTTTTTTCTGTTTTCCATCACGCTACACTTGCCTGAAAGCTTTTGAAAGAAGTCAAAAGATGATGAAAGATTTGGGAGAAGAATATAGCATTGTAAAAAAAAAAAAAAAAAAGTTTTTCTACGAGTGCGAGTCGAAGTGAGCGCCGACATCCCTGGAGGCAAGTACGACCATTCTCGCCGAAATCATTCGGAAATTTCGGCCTCGAGAGTGTTCCAAGTTGCCCGCTTTTTCTCCTAGGCCTGTCTCTCTTGTTGTCGAACATTAACTTCGGTGGAAACTTTGTGGAAACTTGGGTGGAAACTTCGGTGGACACTTCGGTGGAAACTTCGCCGGAAACTTCTCCACAGACGGATCGTTATCCTTGTGATTAGCGCTGAAACCTGGCTGAATACCTAGTTTGTTTTCTAACTTTTCTTCTTTCTTTTTTGCCCCACCGCGCTCCACTTGCCTGATGAATATTTTCTCGTTTTTCTATTCCGCTCCGCTCCGCCAGTCTATAGACTTAATGGTTGTAGCGCTCGTGAAGTTTCGGGTGAAAGTTCGACGGACTGTTACGCCGCGCGATTACGGATGATGGGAGATGGGTTCGCGCCCACGTGTCAACTTGTGGTACGCTCTCATCATGCTGGTAGAATGAATGTCCTCAGTTAATTCTGAGCGCCACTGGCCATTATTCACGACTTCCAGAATACCAATCTCCTTAAGTCGCGTTTGCTCGGCTATTTCTGTTTTCTCCCAGTGTCTATAGGTCCTCTTGCTCCCGAAATGACTCCCTCGAGGACATCTCCTTCCGGCGTCCTCAAACCATCACGGAATCTCACTCGAGTTGGTTTCCCATAAGCTTCCTTGCACAATGCACGATCGACCAACGGTCTCCTAGATTGTTTCTGCGCAGCTCTTAGGAAAGATGTATGTTTGAAAAAACCGGCGAAAAGAAATCGAAAACGGTGATGGCGTGCGGAAAGCGAAGGAGATCAAAGACGACTGAGAATATGGTCTCAGAGACACACAGATTGATAAACACGGAGAGAGAGAGAGAGAGAGAGAGAGAGAGAGAGAGAGAGGGGGGGGGGGGGGGGGGGGGGGGGGGGGGGGGGGGGGGGGGGGGGGGGGGGGGGGGGGGGGGGGGGGGGGGGGGGGGGGGGGGGGGGGAATAGACTCTGACAGAGAGCGAGAGCTGAAGCATCAGGCAGAAGACTGTTTCTTGAGCTTGTGAATTCACGTAGTTCATAAGGCATGCTGAAGGATGTCTTTATCGACCAAATCTGACCGTGACTACAGCTAGATTCAGTCTAGAAAGCTGTTGTCTGGTTATGCTATTATTTGCCTCCTTCGCTTTGTGGTTTGCTCATCACGGCTTTTCTCGCTACCTCCTCTTTCTCGTGCTCATTTTCTCTTCCGTGCACGTTTTCCGATGGCCTTACACTTTCCCAACATCGAGTGATTGTGACCTTACGCTGGCAATTTATTTCAACAGCTTAAGCTCTCTCTCTCTCTCTCTCTCTCTCTCTCTCTCTCTCTCTCTCTGTGTGTGTGTGTGTGTGTGTGTGTGTGTGTGTGTGTGTGCGCGCGCGCGTGTTTTTTTTAACAGTAATCCTCCCCACGCTTCGAATTGTGCTCGTAATCTCCTACGGTAGTTCCTTCCACACGCAGCACCAGATTCTGAAGTGTAAGAAAAACACTGGAAAAAATGCACTACAGAATCTGGCGCTCTCTATGACCCTGTACATTTTGATACCGCCGAGGGCGTAGGTTGTTATCAGAATTGGGCTTCATGATTTCCTTCCGAGCAGGAGCGCAGTTTTATGGGCGATATTCCTCTCGTGCTCTCCGGAGTTCTGGCGGTAATATACAAATGAGGAGTACATACGTTGACTCGTACGATCGCCCCATAGTCATTCTGAGAGCTACTTTCGCTCCTCCCCTTCACTGATGCCTGGAAATTGTACTTCATTACACTTCTGTGCAAACGACCCGTGAAAAACCAAGCATGGCTGGAAGTCCGTATCTTCCATATCTGCCTGAGATTAGGTCGCTAATGCCTCGGTATGTTGCGACGGCGCCGGCCGCGGCTTCTGGAACCTGCTGCCAGGTTGGAAGGCTGCGCGTTCCATCGCTCTGGGAAATTATGTGTCCGTCTCTGTGACTGTGTGCTTGTGTATGTATTTTGTCACGCTCGCTATAGACAACTCCATAAGAAAAGCATGACTCTGTGTGAGTGGGAGACGAGGAGAGCGGCAGAGAGAGAGAGACAGATCAACATAATCTACACACTCTGTGTGTGTGTTTGTGTGTGTTTGTGTGTGTGTGTGTGTTTTTGTGTCACAGTGTGTGTGTGTGTGTGTGTGT